GACCGATCGGGAGGGGGGTGGGGGCAGGGGGGCAGGGGAAAGCTGAACCCAAAAGAATCTGGGTGGTGGGTGAGCTTGCACGAGCATGCCTGGTGAGGAAGAGCAGGGTGAGCCAGTCCTGAGGTCACCAGGCTTAAGGAGCCTCAAAACCTGAGTACAGAGTGATGTGGCAAATAGGTGACAGAATGGACAACAGCTCCAGAGAGGGGTTTTCCCCACTGACCACTTCCCAGCAGCTGCTGATCAGCAGGAGCCAGGGCCTCCCTGCAAGGTGCCAGGGAAGCAGGAATGGACATTTTCAGCACTCATTTCTGGGAATGTTTGCTGCAATTACCCCCTCTTATGGCTGGGAACCACAAATTTGGAAACACACAGATTGCACAATGTCCTGGCCAGAGGTGCCACCCACAGCCCTGGCAGCAATAAAAAGGAGAGGGAGCAGGAGCCTCAGCAGAGACCTGCAAGGAGCACATCCCAGGTACATCAGCTGTCCTCCTGCTGCAGAGATGGTGCAAGCAACTCCCTTGCTGCTGGTGCTCTTCCTGGCCCTGGGGGCTCATGGCCTGGCTGTGAAAAAGGTACTGAGGGTGGGATGCACAGGGTGGGGTGGGCAGGGGGCTGTGGCTGCAGGCACCAGTGCTGAATTCCTGCCCTCCAGTGCTCCCTGACCGGGCGCTGGGTCAATGACCTGGGTTCCAACATGACCATCACATCCGTGAATGCAAAAGGTGTCTTTGCTGGCTCCTACCACACGGCTGTGACAGCCACCTCCAACGAGATCAAGCTGTCACCGCTGCAGGGATCCATGCAGAAGGGCCCTAACCAGAAGGGCCAGCCCACCTTTGGCTTCACCGTCAACTGGAGCTTTTCAGGTACTTCTTTCCCAGCCTCTTTATGGTATCCTGGACTTCCCCTGCCCTGCCTCTTCTGCTCTTGAAGTTTTTCTGCCCTCCCTGCAGTGTCCTTGCTGATTCCCTGCCTTCCCCTGCACTATCCCCACTGCTCTCCCTCTCCTCTCCCTGGAGCTCCCCCATCCCTGTCTCTGGAGCTCCTGGGTTGCTCTCAGCTCCCAGTCCCAGGGTGCAGGAGAGGCAGCAGGGGCTGAAGCCTTCACTGCCTGCCCATCTCTGTGTGACACCCCAGCCCTCTGAGCCCTCCTGCTGCTTTCCCCATGCCCACTGGCCCCAGAGGCTGGGGACAGCAGGGGTCTACTGTCCCCTGAGCTGGGACAGCCACACACCTCCACCTCGGCCACGCTCCCCTCCACCTCCTCTCTTGTCCCCACAGATTCTGTCACTGTTTTCACGGGCCAGTGCTTTGTGGATGAGTATGGAAAGGAAGTCTTGAAGACCATGTGGCTGCTGAGGTCACACGTGGAGAACATAAAAAATGACTGGAAAGCCACCAGGTGAGCCCCCTGACCCTGCCCTGCACAGGTCCCTTGTGCACTCCTGAGGGGTTGGGGCTGTCACAAGTGATTTAGGTTGCTTGCAGAGCCACTCTCAAGGCGTTGGCAAAAGCAGGTGTAATATCTGTTTTAAAAGCACAGCTTAACAAATCTCGATGGCAAGGTTCACTTGATTGCTTTGTGCATGGGTAAAACACAGAAAGGAAAAACACCATCCCCTGGGCTCCTGCCAAGGTGCAGATGTGGTGCAGGAATGCCGGGCTGGGTGCGTGTTTGGACACTGCCACGTCCCTCCCTTACATCCTGTCCTCTGTGTCCCCACAGGGTGGGCACCAACGTCTTCACCCGCCTGCAGTCACAGGAGTGAGGGTGACAGCGGGGGCTTCCCAGCAGTGACAGGGGTGTGGCCCCTGCTCCTGCAGCACCACCTGCTTCTCCCAATAAAGCTTTGCTGCAAGCGCCCACAGTCTCCTGTCATGTTGTTGCAAAATGTGGGATAAGTAAAATATTTCTTTAAAAGGTTTGTTCTTTGATGTTTAATTTTTTTTCATGCTTTCAAGCGTAATCAACAAGAAAGGACATTTAGCCTGTGAAACAGAGAGCAGCAAACAAGCTCTGAGCTTGTCCAGGTGCTGTAAGAAAGAGATCTTGGCAGAATTGCCTTGTTAAGGTTTAGGTCTTGATGAGCTTTGTGGGAATCCTTAAAATCAGAGAGTTTTGGGAAAGCTGCAAAAGGCAGGCCTTAGGGACAGCAGAACTGCAATTAGAGCGAAGCAGTAGCCATAAGATTTGTCAGCAGAAAAGTTATATGAGATGTAGAAAGTAAGGACAAATGACCAACAGTCTGTGTATTAACACTTGTCTAGAATAACTTCCTAAGCTGCAGAAAAGTATATCTATCAAGATATTAGGAAGTTCTAAGCTTGGTAATGGAGCCCTGTGCATTGTGTTTTAAGGCTTACAAGCAGGTATTGTATTCAAAATAAGCAAGCTTTGTTTTAACCAAAGGTACCTGTGCTTATAGTGGTTGGACAGAACTACTGTCAACATGCTTTTGCTTTGTGTGATTGGTCAAAAAACTTTTAAAGTGAGTTGTAACTTTGAGTTCTTCGTCTGCTGCCTGGGATGTGAGCTGCTGGCATCTTCCCATTGTCATAACCACGTAACGAGACTGATGCTGGAAAACAAACAGCTCAAAACACGCTCACAACAGTCCCATTCATCTGTGATTTGTACATTGACCCCTGGCTGGCAATAGGCTTTAATGATGTCAGACCTGGGTGCAGGTTACAAAACTTGGGATGAGCAATATACTACTAGTAGAGGACACAAAGATTGCAGAATTTACAGGACACTTGGCAAAACCCCCAGGATAAGAAAAAACTAATAAAGACAACTGGATCAGGAAAAATGCAGTGCTGAAGCAGCTCTGACTGGGTAGAAAGTAAATTCTGGCTGGGGAAGGTCATGACTTATGGCCCACTGGGTCAAGAAACTCACCAACTCAAGAGAAGAGAAAGGCTGAGCCCAAAAATTAATTAGCATCAGATGCAAGAGAATTCTTAACCAATAGGAGAGAGAATAGTAATTAATAAAAGAACTAAATAATTCATAGCCAATGAACATTAATGCCTTTGTTTGCTAGATGTGTAAATAGCAAAATGTTTTGATAGTTATTGTGCTTGATCTTTGGAATAACACTGAGGACTCAGGCTTGTGGAACTAAAACAAAAAATCAATGTCTCTCTTAGGTGTGTAATTACTGCCTTGTTATACACCAGGTAACAAATCCAATCCTTCTGGACAGCTCTGTCATAGCTCTGCACACACATTCCCAATACCCCCATGGTGTCTGTGTCTCATGGTCCCTTCTGTCACCATACCCGAGGCATCACGCGTGTCCCCTGCTGTGACCCTCCATGGCACAGAGTCTCCTTTGCAGCCCCCCAACCCCACCACGGTCCTTGGGGGTCCCCCCTGCCCCAGCCCAGGGCAGCAGGAGCCCGTTCAGCCTGGAGCACTGCCCGGTTGCCCATCTCCCACCGGGTGTCCTTTGGCAGGAGGCCGGGTTTTGGCAGCCGCTGCCTGCCCACAGCCCGCTCTGCTATAAAAGGGCACCACACACGGCCACCACCACCATGGGCACCCCGGGCTGCTGCTGCTCGCCCTGCCCCTGCTCGTGGCCCCTGGTGCTGCACCAGGGAGGTGAGAGCAGCCCTGGCAGCCTGGCCGTGCCGAGCCGTGCTGTGCTGTCCCGGGTGCAGGTGGGTGAGGGGCTGCACGCCCTGGCTGTGCCATCATCCCTGTGGTGCACTGGGAATGACCAGGGGGCTGCCTGCTCCTGCTGTGCTTTCTGGTGCCGTGCCGTGCCACTCCGCGCTGTGCTGTGCCACAGACTGCTGTGTCAAAAAACTTTTAAAGTGAGTTGTAACTTTGAGTTCTTCGTCTGCTGCCTGGGATGTGAGCTGCTGGCATCTTCCCATTGTCATAACCACGTAACGAGACTGATGCTGGAAAACAAACAGCTCAAAACACGCTCACAACAGTCCCATTCATCTGTGATTTGTACATTGACCCCTGGCTGGCAATAGGCTTTAATGATGTCAGACCTGGGTGCAGGTTACAAAACTTGGGATGAGCAATATACTACTAGTAGAGGACACAAAGATTGCAGAATTTACAGGACACTTGGCAAAACCCCCAGGATAAGAAAAAACTAATAAAGACAACTGGATCAGGAAAAATGCAGTGCTGAAGCAGCTCTGACTGGGTAGAAAGTAAATTCTGGCTGGGGAAGGTCATGACTTATGGCCCACTGGGTCAAGAAACTCACCAACTCAAGAGAAGAGAAAGGCTGAGCCCAAAAATTAATTAGCATCAGATGCAAGAGAATTCTTAACCAATAGGAGAGAGAATAGTAATTAATAAAAGAACTAAATAATTCGTAGCCAATGAACATTAATGCCTTTGTTTGCTAGATGTGTAAATAGCAAAATGTTTTGATAGTTATTGTGCTTGATCTTTGGAATAACACTGAGGACTCAGGCTTGTGGAACTAAAACAAAAAATCAATGTCTCTCTTAGGTGTGTAATTACTGCCTTGTTATACACCAGGTAACAAATCCAATCCTTCTGGACAGCTCTGTCATAGCTCTGCACACACATTCCCAATACCCCCATGGTGTCTGTGTCTCATGGTCCCTTCTGTCACCATACCCGAGGCATCACGCGTGTCCCCTGCTGTGACCCTCCATGGCACAGAGTCTCCTTTGCAGCCCCCCAACCCCACCACGGTCCTTGGGGGTCCCCCCTGCCCCAGCCCAGGGCAGCAGGAGCCCGTTCAGCCTGGAGCACTGCCCGGTTGCCCATCTCCCACCGGGTGTCCTTTGGCAGGAGGCCGGGTTTTGGCAGCCGCTGCCTGCCCACAGCCCGCTCTGCTATAAAAGGGCACCACACACGGCCACCACCACCATGGGCACCCCGGGCTGCTGCTGCTCGCCCTGCCCCTGCTCGTGGCCCCTGGTGCTGCACCAGGGAGGTGAGAGCAGCCCTGGCAGCCTGGCCGTGCCGAGCCGTGCTGTGCTGTCCCGGGTGCAGGTGGGTGAGGGGCTGCACGCCCTGGCTGTGCCATCATCCCTGTGGTGCACTGGGAATGACCAGGGGGCTGCCTGCTCCTGCTGTGCTTTCTGGTGCCGTGCCGTGCCACTCCGCGCTGTGCTGTGCCACAGACTGCTGTGCCATGCTGTGCTGTGCCGTGCTGGGCCACCCCTGGGCACAGTGTGCAGGGCTGACAGGGTTGCATGTTTCTACCATGCCACGCTGTGACACCCCAGCACACAGCTTGTCAGCTCCTCTCGTGTCCTGCTGTGCCGTGCCACACCACAGTGCAGTGTCCATGACCAAGGAGGCTGCCAGCTCTGGCTCTGCTGTCCCTGGGGCTGCTGTGGGTCACCTCCCCTACTGTAGGGGGGTACCCAGTACTCCCAGCTCTGCCCTGCCCTGCTCAGGGAGGGAGAGGTGCTGTCCCAGCTGGTGCCCATGTGCTGGTCACTTGCCACACAGAGGGGCCATGCCATGGGACACACATGCTGCTGCTGGTGAGGGGAGGAGGAACTGTGGCTCAGCATTGCCCAAGCCACCCACATGACCCCCGGTCCCCACTGTGACCTGCAGGGCCTGTGGAGAAATGAGCTGGGCTCCAATATGATCATGTTGGCCACGAAGACAGCTGGGACCCTCTCAGGCTCCTACCAAACTGCAGTGGCAGCCACCAACGAGCAGGTCCTGGTGTCACCCTTGCGAGGGGTCCAGCAGCATCCCAGTGCCAAGAGACACCCCACCTTCAGCTTCACCGTGCAGTGGCAGCTCTCAGCTACAGCAGTGACAGTGATCCTCTGCCTGTGCTGGGAATGGGGACGCCCTGTCTGGTGCCCCAAATCCCCTGTGGCACCCAGAGGAACCCTGGCTGTGGGCATGGATTGGCCATGTGCACACACTCCTGCCATGGGAAGTGGTGGTGGCAGAGCTTGTCTGTGGTGGGTTTCAGGGTTGTCTGGAAGAGGTGATGAGGGTGTCCATCTGTCTGTCCAAGGGGCATGGCTGATGCCCAGCTCTGTGTCCAGTGATGTGGAACAGTCCACCTGGCCGGTGTGGCAGGGAAGTCCATATCTCTGTCCAGGGCATGTTTGTCTGTCTGTCTGCCAGGACCAGGTGGCCTAAGCTTCCCTGTCTTGAGATGCAGGTTCTCACCCTCCTCTTCCTCTCTCAAACCTTGCCAGACTCCTCCACTGCCTTTGTGGGCTTCGTGGATCACCAAGGGAAGGAGACCACGTGTCTCCTGTGGGAAGAGGTCCTGTCATACAAGGACACCTGGAAAGCCACAGGTGAGTTCTCTCCCTGCCATCTCTCCCCACAGGGTTGGCTCTTCCACTTTCACCTGCATCAAGTGATGGGAACAGGGACCAGTGCTGTCTGCACCCTGCTGTTCTTCTGCATCTCCAAGTCTCCTCACTGTCCCAGTCCCAAGCTGGGCTCTGGCAAGGAAACACACCCTCACTTTTCTCTGCTTCTTCCCAGTGCCTCCCAGCAACCTGTTGGTGGGGCTCCCCATTGCCATACTTGCTGCCCCCCACATGGAGCCAAATAAACCTTTCCCCACATGGCACAGAGCTGTATCCCTGTTATCCGTGGTATGCAAGCAGCCATGCGTGGATGTCTCCCCATCTGTGGCCATGGGGAGAGCAAGGTGCTGGCAGGGAAGTGTTTTTGAGGGGATGGGAAAGATGGGTTTGGGGGACAGTAATTCTGCTTGACCATGGCTCCAGCAGGTGCCTTCTTGCCTGTGTACCCACCCGGGACATTCACAGTGCTGGGTGGCTCCAGGCAGCACCCCCAGTGTGGGGCACAGCACACCCCACAGCTGTGGGTAGGGGTGAAAGCCACATGCAGGCAAACCAGCACTC